GTGGGAGGAAAAATGCTGGCAGCGCCTTGCAAAAAAGGAGTTGGGAGCAGTTGCTGGTAAGTAAGCGCGAAAAACCGCGCGTGCCTGAGAAGGGTGCGAAGCAACGGAAACACTGCCTCCTGCGCTCGCCAGCTGGGCTCTGCTCTAGGAAGGAGGCTCTGGCAAACCACTTCCGAAAACCAATTGCCTTGAAAACTGCAAGCAGTCACTGCAGGGTCAGCAATGACTGAGCGCAGACCAAAAAAAAAAACTCAGCCCAGTGAGTGGTGTTGCTAGTCAGAACCATTTGAGAACCCCATTAATATTGCCCTCATTTCCAAACAACAGATATATATTTTTAAGGAAAACAATTGGCAATGGTTTGCAAAAAGCTACAAATGCCAAAAATGTGTGTGCATGTGTATGTTTGTGTGTATGTATACACACACAGTCACCAACACTTAATTTTCTACTTGTATTCCACCCAAACTATATGCATGATTTCTTTTAGATAAATTGAATGATTGTACATCCACTAATCAAATTGCAGATAAAGAGCAGGTTGGATTTAGGAATGATAATGTCACAACTGCTTTTTTAAGGATATTTGTATAATGTTGTTTGTCTATCCATTGCAAAAAGATGGGCCATGCATAAATGAAACATCAAATATACATATTCTATGTACTTTAGAGAAATATTAAAAAGAAATTCACCTTTCACTGTTCTTCAGTTTGAAGATGGGCTGTAACCATTACATTGACAAATAAACTGTATAAATCAGTTCAGTCTTGTGACTCTACAAAGTGAGCCACAATAGTGCCTTGGGCACTATTACCAGTCCTGTTTATTGCTATTTAACTTAAGTTTTAAAACAATGCTCATTAACATGAAACCTTTAAAACCGATTTCCTTTAGTTTTATTAAAAAATAAACAGTGGCATTAATTTTCTTCTGCCTATAATGCAATCAAAAACTCATTAGTCTACAATGGCAAGAATTGTAAGTGATGTTTTAGAACTGTTCTCTTTCATACATCATTGTGATCTGCCTGGTTTCACTATTTCACTTCTGTTTCTCCCAGCTGAAATGTTAAATAAAAATGAAGTTTTTCTACGAATAGCTGCATTATGTAGCTTATTCCAAACATTCCTATTATTAATTTTGTTTAATTAAATCATTAGTATATCTGAAAATAAAGCCTGACAAGGCAGATACTTTGTAAACTGGTAATTCCCAGGTATGCAGATCAACTAAGTGACTTGCCCTAAGTATGGTCCTATTCCATTCAGAGAACGTGGAAATATTCCTACTTGGGAATATTCCTAAAGATCTGACATTTGCATGACATTTTCTTGGCAAAGATACAGAAGTGATATGCCACTGTCTTTTCCCGGATTTTTTTTTCCTACTTCCCAGTCTAGCCTATAGTCCTGGGATTTCTTGATTTTCTCCCACCCCTAAATTCACCTTTGTCACTAATCTTCAAGTAGTTGAAATACAGTTTCTGCTGGCTTCCTATTCCTGCTACTTTAATCCACTGATATCTTCCCATCTAGATCATTGCAATGCATTCTAAATAACAATAACAACATAATAGTAATAATAAGACCCGATAGGTGGATAAAAATGCCAAATCCAGTCTAAACATCTGGTTGACTGTGCGACTAACAATAATTTAAGCTTGTATGCCACCCAACACTCAATGACTGGGGTATATGACACAGAATCTATAGCTACTGAAGGAAATATATATCTACTACATTAGTGTTGGAAATACCAATTTAAATCCCCGTTTCTGTTTGTCAGCAAATCGTTTCCTATTTTTCACCTAAACATGACATATCACAAATAGAGAGTAATAACCTTAATATCCTAGGGGACTGAGGCATCCAAATGATTGACCATTCCAGGATTTACTGCACATCTGCTTTGCAAGACTTTTATATTCCTTATCTTTTATAACACAAGTAGTTTTTAAAGATATTTATTCTATAATAACACTGCAAGACATTAAATTTCCACTTTGTTCTTTCTATTGGTAAAATAAATGACTGTTTTTCATTTGGCTCATATTTGTGTGGTTTGATGCCTTCCTCTGATGTCATTGTCAACGTTTAGAAAGAAGTGATGTCGGAGGCAAGGTGAAGAGGACGCATGTCAAAAGGAGCAGGGTTTTGATCACAAGCTCGTGGTGGCCACTTTGCCTTTTTTGACCCCTTCCTGCCCTCTGCAGATGCCCCTGGGATATGGAAGAGCAGTACAGCCCCATTGCTGGCTGAAAAGGGAGAATCACTCTTTCAAATGTGTAGTTATAATTTGTGTTCGTGTTAACACTTCATGAAAGCTTAATCGAGTCAAACATTTGACATTTATTTACTGACATTTATTGCAAAAACAATGAGAAGGGAAAAGGGAGCACAGAAATTGAAAAGACTATTAAAACACATTAGAAATGTTATGGCTTTATTCGTTTTTTAAAGGAAATTTGGATACTTTCTCTATTCTTTGGTAAAGTTATTAATAAACCATGAAATTATGAGATTGCAAGGCATACCTTTTGGATGTATTGCTATTGTTCACTCATGGACGGCGCTTCTGGACAAGTAGCCACCTGGTATTTGTTTTTTTACTTAGTTACCATATTCTTCACACTACCCTTCCAGTCAAATAACCTCTTCCAAGAGAACTAATAACTTGCTTCTTTACAAAAGGAAAGGAGAAAATGCTTTGAGATTCTAAGAGTGATCCTCAGTTGACCCAGAATATTGGAGGCTAAAGATGCATGCCAGACTTTTTCTATTTTAGTTGGTTCTAGGTTAGAGATATATTTTAATTCTCAGTATAAATGTTAAATCCTTTGTAATAACTTTTCCTTGTAAATCTTGGCTTTGATGGCTTATTCTGGTAACATTATTTTCCTAACATGGAGGAATCAGTAGAATACATCAGTTGGTGCTGATCATCATATACAAAAATGCACTCTTTACATATTCAGATCAATGAATGAAAGTTAAGTCTAGGTTACAGCTAAATGCAGCCAAAGGAGTAAGAGTATAGTCAATAGCATAGGTTTAGATAGAACTTTTAGGACAATACGTATGGCATCAGCATTATTTAATACATTCATTACTAAAAAGGCATTTTTAAGCAGTATTGTTTTTTAAAAGACACCTAGAAGGCCATAATTAGAAGCCAAGCAGATGCAATTCCACTGTTTCAGAAAGTTTTTATTCAGTGCAGTCTTGGCTTTTCTTTTCATCTTGCCTAAATTAAAAGGAACAGATAGATTAAAAGGGTGTAGTGATACCATCTGATTCAAAGTACTGTAGTATTACTTTCAGATGCTGATTAAAGCTGAGAGTTGTTCAAACTCTAAGTCAAGTCTCAAATGTCCCAACTTCGCATTTTAACAGCCCCAAGCATTACTTTTGATGTATGCAGACCTACGGAAAAAAGAACACTTGCTCACCGGCACAGATGTCTGACCGAAGCCACAATGACATCGTGACAGGTGTGATGCCATTTCCCCACTTTGCTTGCCTTGCCAACTGCCATGCACAGCTGTACATTGCAGCAGTAACAGTTCACCTGCACAGCCACCATCCTTTTCAACAGACCTCTCATAGACACTTGTGAAACGGTGCCATGCAGGCCACTGGTCTAGAAGAGTGGCTGTATCAATCTCCCTGTATCTAAATGGAAGACAGTGCACAGGAGACACAATCCGTGTATGTGGAAATGCATAGATATGGATGCCATGCCATCTTTAAAACGCCTATCAATTAATTGAGAGAATTCCTACATCATCATGCCCTTAGTTTTGCCTGTGTGTATGGTGTTCTATTTCTGCTGGTCAGGAACAAGACTTCAAGGGAAGAAGGGATCTGTTCTGTCTTTCACAGACTAATCAGAAGTCCTTCGCACAGTGTTATTCCTTTAGACCATTCATAACCAACATTCCAACTGACATGGCAAAAGTTTCTTTTTTCCATATATCCTGCACTTCAGACAGACAGCTATCTCCAAATCTGGTGCTCTTCAGATGTTTCTGACTGTAACTCCCCCCACACTTTTTCTCCAGCATGAACACTGCTGCTGCTGATGTGTGTGTGTGTGTGTGTGTCTGTGTGTGGGGTACAATGTATGAACAAGGGAAAGCTGGGGAAGACATGCATAGAAAGAACTAGAAGAACTAGAGTCCTACTGACTCTCTGTTTGACTATATGAAAAACTCCCTTTTTAACTTCTTGCCCCACTTTTCAAAGTTTATCTGGTAGTCATTTGTAATTCAATAGAGTGAGCACCACTTGGTTGATTCCTCCTATGTCCAAAAAGACATTCCATAAACAATACTATTTAGGGTGGGGGCTGAACTGAGTTCACTGTTTCATAAACTAAAATGGAAATAGTTCTGCAGCAGGAAAATACATGCCTTGGGGCATGGGGCTACAATATCTGAGGGACCACCTTTCACCCATTGTCTCCAGCCACCCCATCAGTTCTGGCAGAAGGAGCATGGTCTGGCTCCCATCTATTAAAGAGTGTCATCTAGTGAGACACAAGAAGTATGCCTTTTCTATCCCCGTGCCTTCTCTCTAGAACATCATTCCCTCCACCTCCACCCCAAGATTAGATTGGCCCTGTCTCTACTAGCCTGTTGGAAGGTCCTTAAAATCTGGCTGGTTAGGTAAGCCTGTGAGATATGGTTAATTATTGGTGATGGTTAATCCCAGCTGCCACTTTTTCATTTTATTCCCGTATATTCTTATTTTTAATTTTCATTTTATATTCTTGTACTGATGTTTTTATTTGTGCTTGCCACCCAAAGTCACCTATGGGAGGTAGGTGCAAATAAATTGAATAAAATAAATGAATAAATGTTTCTTAATATTTGTTCAGCCTTTCCAAACCTGACACTCGTGAGATGGGTTGGACTTCCAGTTTCAACAAACCCAGCCATTAATAAACACAGCATCTCTCAGATTTACTTTGCAACTTACCACTTTTCCACAAAGGATTTAGACTTTTCTGTGTCTGGTAGTACTATTTTCCACACCATTGCTGTCTTCTGATTTCCTGTACAGAATAAATGGTTCTTTTTTTCAGTCTTTTTCCATCACAGATTTTTATTAATGTCAATATGGACTTTCATCCTTAGCTGGGTTTTCCCACTGTTAAGTCGTACTCGATTAAACTTCCCCAGAAATAGAACAGAACAGAGACATGAGATATGATAAAAAATGGAGAAGCTGGCCATCAGTGAGGAGGCTCCCTACCTTCTAGAAATATACACCTGTTGCGACTATTTCTATACATACAGTATCTATAAACTAACAAGGCAGTCTCCACATCACCTTCTACAAAAATACAAGCGAGGGAGCAAAACTCTAAGCTTCAAATTACAGGTGATTTTTTTTTTCAGCCTATGAAGAAACATAAAATTAGAGTTTCTAATGTTCTGAACAAGCAGAGAGCCAGCGTAGTCCCATGTGGTTAAATAAAAATGAATGTGAAGCATTGATAAGATCTAATGGGGATTTCTCAGAATGCTGCTGTGATGTATGGCCGTGTGAAACAGGAAGTACACCCTCTTTGAGTTCTATGGTTTTATGTATCAGGACATAATAAAAATAATCTGGTCC